GATCTGACCCCCCTCCCCCTCCGGGACCCCCCCGGGACCTCCCCGGGACCCCTCCCCGGGACCCCCGGCGGGGAGGGATCAAATGGAAGGGGCTTCCCTTCGACTTAAGTACGACGTTGCTACGGCTTCCTGTGCACGTGGCTGCCACGCGCCATGCGTTACAGGATGAACTATTTCATGTTTTTTTTGTGACCCCATGACGAAAGACCCCCTTTGCCCGGAACTAAATTGTATACATTCGTAGTAGTTCCGTAGAGTGCGTCAGCGTCGATTCGCGTCTGGCAACCGATGAGGTGGCGCCGATTTAGCGCCCATGTAGCGCTAATCAGCGTCGATGAGCGCCGATCAGCATCGATTTGGCGCTGAGTGGCGTCGATTAGCGTCGACTTGTGCCCATTCGCATGAGCCAGCGAGACTCCTCCTCCTCCTCCTCCTCCTCCTCCTCCTCCTCCTCCTCCTCCTCCTCCTCCTCCTCCTCCTCCTCCTCCTCCTATGAGAGGCTCTGGGTGAAAAAGCCGGACCCAGAGCGCGGGCCGAGACGTCCGGGGGTCCACGCACGGACAAAACTCAGCACAGCGCCTGCCCCGGATCCGGGGTCACCGCCCGGTCTTGGGACTTGGGTCTCGGGGGCGGAAAAGAGGGGGGTGATGACTAGCGGGGGGGGGATATCATGGCGGGGGCCATGATATTTCCCCCGATCTCGTGGCGCCTCTTCTTATTTCATTACGTCCCTGGCCCCCCCGCTGGGCGGCGCACATGCCGCCGGTCATGATTTGCACCCCCCTCTTGGACACCCCCCTCTTGGCCGCTCCCGAGACTTGGGTCGTTCTGCCTGGACGTCTCGGGCGACCGGGGCCTCCGACGCTTCCACGCCGCGCGGTGACGTCGGGGGTTCGCAGCGGGAGGGCTATCCCAAGGTGGGGCTGGGGAGCGAGCCCGGCGGGATGCTCCCGTTCGACGCGTTCCCTTCTCCGAGGGGCCGTTCGGGGCGATTTTCCCTCCAACCCTACATTTGCCCCAGCCCCACCTTCGTGCCAGGGCTAGACCTAAGCGGTGTTTTGGCGATTTCGCGGGCTGTTTTTGTTTCGACTTTGTTCTGCCGTGCAGGTGGACTGAAGACAAAACGAGGGAAAACAAAAACAAAACGAAAACGAAACCACCGTTTGGGTTCAGCCCTGCTTTGTCCCCGCCCCGACTGCGGACCGCGCGGTGACGTCGGGGATTCCGAGGTCACCCCGCGGTCCGTCACCGCACGGCGCCCCCGGAGAGGAGCTGCGCGCCGCCGCGCGCTCGGGCTGGAGCGGCGTGGAGCTCTGCGCGGAAGCGCTGGCCTCCGGTCGGCGGGCTCCTCTTAGTCTCCCGTCAACGCCGGCCTCCTCGTTTTTTCTGTTTTATTTGTTGTTTTTTATTTTTGTGTGTGCGTGTGTGTGTGTGTGTGTGTGTGTGTGTGCGCGGAATGGGGCGTCGTGCTGCGCACACGATGCGTCGAGAGGTCAGGCGTGCTCTTGGGGCGACCTCGCCGATGCGGCTCAGCGCCGACGGGGGTCGAAGACGAGCCCGCCGAGGGGCGGTGGGCGCCGCGGAGGTGTCCGCGGCCGTCGCCCGCTGGAGGGCCGCCGGTGTCTTCGCTGCTCGGCCGCCTGCCGCGGCGCTGGCGCCCGAGTCTCGGCGCACCTACGGCGTGGACGTCGGGTGCGCCGCGCCCGCCTACCTCGGGCGCCCGGCGGGCGACCCGCGGCTCGAGGGGCCCGAGCTGGAGCGGGCGCTGGGCTCGCTGAGGCGGCACGGCCTGGCTCTGGTGGCGGGCGCCGTGGACGCCGAGGCGCTGCGGGCGCTGCGGCGCCGCCTGCGCATCCCGACTGGCACTGGGCCGCTGGGGTGCCCCACCGAGGTTCGCACGGCGGACGTGGCGGCGGCCGCGGTCGGGGCCGCGCCGCCGCTGGAGCCGACCAGCGGCCGGCGCCACTTCCTGCTGAGGGGCACCGCCCTCGCGGAGGCGGAGATCCTGCCGCTGCTGGCGCCGCTGATGCCGCTGGCCTACCGCTTCCTCGCGGAGTGCCGCCCAGACGCCCTGCCAGGCTGCCTGATGACCGGCAGCGCGTCTGAGCCGGCGGCGGCCGCAGCCGCGCCCCGCCTCTACCTGTCAGAGTGCCAGCTGCTGGTCTCCGACCCAGGCGCTGCGCCGCAGATGTGGCACCGAGACAACCAGCGGCCCGGCCTGACCGTCATTCTGCCGCTCACGACGGTGGACGCCGAGGTGGGCCCGACGCAGCTGCTGCCAGGCACCCACGCCGGGGCGTGGGCAGCAGCCTCAGCGCTGCTGGAGAGCGGCGGCGCGGCCTGCGCGGCGCCGCTGGAGGCGGGGCAGGCGCTGGTGTACGACGCTCGGGTGCTGCACCGAGGGCTGGGCAGCAGCTCCTACGGCCATTGTCGGGTCGTGGTGGTCATGCGCCTCGACTACGTCGACACTCCGCCCCCCGGCGCTACAATCGCCCAGACGGCGTTGGGGCGCGTGGAGGGGGGGCTGCTGCAGGCCCTGGGCGCGCTGTACTCTGCGCTGCCGGTGCCCGGGCTGGCAGACAAAAACCACGAGCGAGGAGTTGCTTGACCAGGAAAGGCATCTGCAAGGATCGTCACAGGTAGAGGCAAAGACAGCCCAAGAGGGCCCTAGGCAGCCCAGACGGGCCCGAATCCCTTCTGTCCCTGCTTCGCTCACCCTTCTTGCTTCCACGTTCCATGCCTCCCTGCCATCTTCAGGAACCCAGTCGAGGCTTCAACCGGGCAAGGCTTCAAGCAGGAAGCGGGCAACCCGGAAACGAACAGGCGACTCCCTGTTTCCGGCTCCGCCCTAAGAATTTTCTGCCTCGCAAGTCAGGCCTGCCGCGAGCCCCGAGACAGCCCAAGAGAGGCCTTGTGGGGAATTCCAAAAGGCTCCCGAGAGAACCTTCTTACCGACCCAAGATTGCCCCAGAAGCTTCCAAGAGCTCGCAGACAGTCCGATCGAGGCTCCAGAGGGCTCTCACATGTTCCCAAGGGAACGCTAAGAGCGCCACAGGAGGCCCCAAAGAGGGTCCAAGATATGCACCAAAGCGACCAAAGGCGGCCCTGGGCTGGCCCAAGAGGGCCCCGGGCAGCTCAGACGGGCCCGAGTCCCTTCTCTCCCTGCTTCAATCCCCTTTCTCGCTTCCCCGTTTCGTGGCTTCTCGCCCTCTTCGGGAACCCCGTCGAGGCTTCAACCAGGCGAGGCTTCATGCAGGAAGCGGGCAATGCGGGGGCGAACATGCGATTCCCTCTTTCCAGCTCTGTCCTGTCAACTCTCTGCCTCGCAAGTCAGGCCCGCCGCGAGCCCTAATACGGGCCGAAGAGAGGCCTCAGGAGGTTCCAGAAGGCTCTCAAGAGAAACCTAACATCGGCCCAATACTGCCCCAGAGGCCCCCGAGCCTTGAGACAGTCCAAGAGAGGCCCCAGAGGGTTCCAAAATGCTAATTACCAGGAGATTCATTTTGGGCGCCACAGAAGGCCCCAAATAGGGTCCAAGAGTTTCACCACAGCGATCCAAGACAGCCCTGGCCCCTCAAGACGGTCCAAGATCAGGAGGGGGAAAACACACACAGACAGAGTTCATCGTTGACTCCCAACAAAATATAGGAAAATATGGGAAATGGGGGGGAAGACAACCCCCCAGAAAATATGGGAAAATATGGGGAATCCTGTTATTTGTGTGTATTTGTTTGTGTGTCCCAGGGCCCCTTCACAAGAGGGCCCAGGCAGCCCTGACGGGCCCGAGTCCCGTCTCGCCCTGCTTCACTTCTCTTTCGATCTTCCCCATTCCGTGCCTCCTCGCCCTCTGCAGACATCCCTTCGAGGCTTCAACCGAGGAGTGCTTCATGCAAGACTCGGGCAGCGCGGGAACGAATGTGCGACTCCCTGGTTCCAGCTCAGCCCCGACAGTTATCTACCTCGCAAGTCAGGCCCGCCTCCCTCCCACTCCTGCTCCTCCTCCTCCTCCTCTTCCTCCTCCTCCTCCCCCTCCCCCTCCTCCTCCTCCTCCTCCTCCTCCTCCTCCTCCTTTTCCTCCTCCTTCTCCTCCTGCTCCTCCTCCCCCGCCTCCTCCTCCTTTTCCTCCCCCTCCTCGTCCCTCCTCCTCTCCTCCTCCTCCTCCGCTCCCTCGTCTTCCTCTCCCCTCCTTTCCTCCTCATTCTCCTCTTGCTCCTTCTCCTTCTCCTTCTCCTTCTTCTTTTCTCCTTCTCCTTCTCCTTCCCCTTTTCCACCTGCTTCTCCTTCTCCTTCTCCTTCTCCTTCTCCCCTTCTCCTTTTCCTCCTCCTCCTCCTCGTCCTCCTCCTCCTCCTCCTCCTTCTCCTTCTCCTTCTCCTTCTCCTTCTCCTTCTCCTTCTCCTTCTCCTTCTCCTTCTCCTTCTCCTTCTCCTTCTCCTTCTCCTTCTCCTTCTCCCCTTCTCCTTCTCCTTCTCCTTCTCCTTCTCCTTCTCCTTCTCCTTCTCCTTCTCCTTCTCCTTCTCCTTCTCCTTCTCCTTCTCCTTCTCCTTCTCCTTCTCCTTCTCCTTCTCCTTCTCCTTCTCCTTCTCCTCTCCTTCCTCTCCTTCTCCTCCTCTCTTCTCCTTCTCCTTCTCCTTCTCCTTCTCCTTCTCCTTCTCCTTCTCCTTCTCCTTCTCCTTCTCCTTCTTCTTCTCCTTCTCCTTCTCCTTCTCCTTCCCCTTCTCCTTCTCCTTCTCCTTGTCCTTGTCCTTGTCCTTGTTCTTGTCCCTGTCCTTGTCCTTGTCCTTGTCCTTGTCCTTGTCCATGTCCTTGTCTTTGTCCTTGTCCTTGTCCGTGCTCTTGTCCTTGTCCTTGTCCTCGTCCCTGTCCCTGCCCCTGCCCCTGTCCCTGTCCTTGTCCTCGTCCTCGTCCTTGTCCTTGTGCTTGTCCTTGTCCTTGTCCCTGTCCCTGTCCTTGTCCTTGTCCTTGTCCTTGTCCTTGTCCTTGTCCTTGTACTTGTCCTTGTCCTTGTCCTTGTCCTTGTCTTTGTCCTTGTCCTTGTCCTTGTCTTGTCCTTGTCCTTGTCCTTGTCCTTGTCCTTGTCTTTGTCCTTGTCCTCGTCCTTGTCCTTGTCCTTGTCCTTGTCCTTGTCCTTGTCCTTTGCCTTGTCCTTGTCCTTGTCCTTGTCCTTGTCCTTGTCCTTGTCCTTGTCCTTGTCCTTCTCTTTCTCCTTCTCCTTCTCCTTCTTCTTCTCCTTCTCCTTCTCCTTCTCCTTCTCCTTCTCCTTCTCCTTCTCCTTCTCCTTCTCCTTCTCCTTCTCCTTCTTCTTCTCCTTCTCCTTCTCCTTCTCCTTCTCCTTCTCCTTCTCCTTCTCCTTCTCCTTCTCCGTCTCCTACTCCTTCTCCTTCTCCTTCTCCTTCTCCTTCTCCTTCTCCTTCTCCTTCTCCTTCTCCTTCTCCTTCTCCTTCTCCTTCTCCTTCTCCTTCTCCTTCTCCTTCTCCTTCTCCTTCTCCTTCTCCTTCTCCTTCTCCTTCTCCTTCTCCTTCTCCTTCTCCTTCTCCTTCTCCTTCTCCTTCTCCTTCTCCTTCTCCTTCTCCTTCTCCTTCTCCTTCTCTTCTCTCCTCCTCCTCTTCCTCCTCCGCCTTCACCTCCTCCTGCGGCTCCTCCTCCTGCTTCTCCTTCTCCTTCTCCTCCTCCATCTCCTCTCCTCCTCCTCCTCCTCCTCCTCCTCCTCTCCTCCTTTCCTCCTCTTCTCCTCTTCTCCTCCTTCTCGTGCTTCTCCTTCTCCTTCTCCTTCTCCTTCTCCTTCTTCTTCTTCTCCTTCTCCTTCTCCTTCTCCTTCTCCTTCTCCTCCTCCTTCTCCTTCTCCTTCTCCTTCTCCTTCTCCTTCTCCTTCTCCTTCTCCTTCTCCTTCTCCTTCTCCTTCTCCTTCTCCTTCTCCTCCTTCTCCTTCTCCTTCTCCTTCTCCTTCTCCTTCTCCTTCTCCTTCTCCTTCTCCTTCTCCTTCTCCTTCTCCTTCTCCTTCTCCTTCTCCTTCTCCTTCTCCTTCTCCTTCTCCTTCTCCTTCTCCTTCTCCTTCTCCTCCTCCTCGTTCTCCTCCTCCTCCTCCTCCTCCTCCTCCTCCGCCTTCACCTCCTCCTCCTCCTACTCCTGTTTTGTTGCTCCTCGTCCCGCGGCCCCTGCGCGCTCGCCGCCGGTGCCTGCCGTCGGCTCCAGGCCTTTGCCTCTTGCGCCCCGGGCGGGCCGCCGGGCCGCGCCGCGTCTTGGGCGCGCGGCGCCGCGACCGCGCGCCAGCGGGCGGCGCGGCGCGCCCGCGGCTCGTGGGGCGCCCTTCTGCCGGCGAGGCGAGGAGGGGGCGGCGCAAGGAGGAGGAGGAGGAGGAAGAGGAGGAGGAGGAGGAGGAGGAGGAGGAGGAGGGAGGAGGAGGAGGAGGAGGACGAGGAAGGAGGAGGAGGAGAAGGAGGAGGAGGAAGGAGGGGGAGGAGGAGGTGGATGATCCTGGGTGCAAAGCCTCTCAGAGGTGCGCGCCTGCACGGGCTTGGTCGCCCTGGACGCCTTGGAGGAGGCCAAGCTGTCCCTGGTGACCGCCTGCCGGGCCGCGCGCCTCCTGCTGCCGCTGCCGCAGCCCGGGGCCGGGCCGGGGGAGGGAACGGGCCCGCTCCCCGCTCGGTCTGGCCTCGCGCACCAACCTCGTACCAAGGTAGAGCTCTCGCGGCGGCTGGACCAGGACAATTTTTTGGCCTTGCGGAGGCCAGGGCTAGCGAGGACCGGGCGAGGCTGGCTTCCTGCGGGGGGCCGCGCGCTGGAGGCTGGCAGCTGGCCTCGCCAGGCGCCGCGGGACAGCGCCCCAGCAACGCGGACGACTGCAGCACCGCCCGCGAGCTCCTTGGCCAGGACTTCGCGCCGCTGGAGGTTAGCTGCAGCAGCCAGGCGCGCGCTGGCCCGTGCGCGGGCCGCCTCTGCGGCGAGCCGCTCTGCAGCGAGGCGCGCCGCGCCTTTCGATGTCCCTGGGGCGGAGGTGTCAAAGCCCGCCGCAGGGGTGTCGAGGATGTTCGGAACGCATTCACACCGAGTGCGGCTTTTACGCGGCCCGCCAGGTTCCCGTTCCCGCTTGGGGCTGGTGGGCGTGGCGCTGCGGCCCGTGCGACGCGGCCGGCGCGGCCAACTGGCAGCTGGGCCCCTGCGCCGCCTGCGGCCAGCCGCTGGAGGCCCAGCGCGAGGGGGCGATCCTCGACCTCGAGGTGGAGCGTGCCGGCTGTCCGCGCGTCTTCATCGACATGACCAACCAGTGTGCTGTGCCCGGAGATGCCGACGGGCTGGACGCCGCGGCCCTGCGCGAGGGCGCGCTCAACGCTGCGGCCGAGGTCCACGAGCGGCGGCGGTACCCCGAGGGTCGCTGCACTTGGCCGCTGGTGCCGCTTGCCCTTGAAACAGGCGGCCGGCTCGGCAAGTCGGCGCTGCTTTACCTCCCCCAGCCCGCGTGGGACCAAGTGGGGCTCGTGGGCGAGGAGCGCGCCGCGGCTGTGGCCAGCGCCCTGGCACACTGCTGGGGCGCTGAGCTCAGCGTCCCCGTGCGCTGCGTCAAGGTGCGGCGGCTGCGAGCCGCTTTCAGAGGGGGCCGCGCTGCCCGGGCCGCCGAGCTGCGGGCGGAGGCGGCCAGCTGAGCCAGCGCTGCGGCGTAACCGGCACATCGCGTTGCTCTATTGAGTGCTCGTGCTGCCCCATTTGTGCCAATCGGTGGGCTACGAGCTCAGGGGGCGCGTCCGGCGCGTGTTTGCGCTGCGATAGGAGGAGGGCGAGGACGAGTAGGAGGAGGGAGAGGATGACCGCTTCGCTGCTGGTTTTTGCTTTGCAGTATCTCATGGAAGAGAACTCCCGGGGAGGCTTGCCCAATGTGGGGTTGTTCCGTGGGGTTGTCCGGAGGGTTTGTCCGGATCCCCGCTGTGTTGCCCAAGGGTTTGCCCGGGGCAGGGCATTTTGTCGTCGTTCGTTTGCGTGTTTTGTTCAGGTTGTCTATGGTCTCGTCTATCTTTGTTTGTTCGGATTGTTTTCCTTTAAAACGTGCTTTGCAGCGACCAGGGAGGACGAGGCGGAAAAAAAAGAAACGGACGAGGAGGGATATCTTTCTGCAGCTGTGACCGACGATGGTGATGATGCTAATGGTGATGATGATGATGTTGATGATGGCGGTGCAATACTGGTGCTAATATTGATTCGGCTGGTGTTGCTGACATTTTGTATGATACTGAATGCGGCTGCTGCCGATGATGAGAAGGATGGTGCATGTGATGACTATGGTGATTCGGCTGGCGATGGTGCTGATGGTGATGTTGATGATGCTGATTCTTTGCGTACTATGCTGCAGATGTATCGTATACTGGTGATGGTGTTTGTGATGCTGTTAATGATCATTCTGATTGTGCTGGATGGTGACGACGGTGATTATGATGATGGTGACGAAGATGGTGCTACGGCTGATGATGATCACATGCTTGCATATGATGCGTTTGGTGATCCTCATCATGACGGTGATGCTGATGCTGCCGATCACGATGTTGCAGAGCATGAGGACGACGCTTACGATGAATGTGTTGATGCTGATGGTGTGGTTGGTGGTGGTGATGATGATGCTGACAATGTTGGTGATATTTCTGACAATGGTATCGATGATGATGATGATGCTGATGATGATGATGAGCATGCGGATGACGATAGTGATCTGGAACACAATAACAAGCGCAACTATGAACAGGACGCGAAACATAGTGACACTGAATTCAGTAGGAATAAGAAACATGATGATGTCGAGCAATGCGGAAAAGGAGGGGGAGGAAACGAGGAGGATGAGGTGGAGCGGGAGGAGGGGGAAGAGGAGGAGAATTATGATGATGATGATGATGATGATGATGATGATGATGATGATGATGATGCTGTTGATGATGATGATGATGACGATGGTGTTGATGATGACGATGATGACGATGATGCTGATGATGATGCTGATGATGATGCTGATGATGATGATGATGCTGATGATGATGATGATGATGATGATGATGATGATGATGGTGAGGAGGAGGAGGAGGATGAGGAGGAGGAGGGGGAGGAGGAGGAACAGGAGGAAGAGCACCAGGAGGAGGAGGAGGCGGAGGAGGATGAGGGGGAGGAGGAGAAAGAGGAGGAGGAGGAGGAGGCGGAGGAGGAGGCGGAGAAGGAGGAAGAAGAAGAAGTAGTAATAAGCATAAGAATAATTATCATGATGATATTAATATTTCAAACAAGAGAAATAATACGACAAGCATAATCATAATACGAAGAGGACAACCAATACTAGTAATAGTAAGAATACTGTTGAGCATACTAATAGGAGTAATTATAAGAATACTATTGCTAACACTAAGAACACTCAAACTAAGACTAACAAAAACAGTTCGAATGATAAGAACAATACGACACATACTACTGATACTAATCATGGACTAAAAACAAGAAGACTAGGAGGAAGCATGATACGAACAATATTATTACTAAAACTAATACTAAGACTAAAACGAATTACGCTACTAATAATACTACTAATAACATTGATAAGAGTAGTAATAATACTAATGATGTTCAGAACAATGAGAATGAGCAACATGATAATCACAAGACTAATGATACGAATAAGAAACTAATAAGACTAACAATAATAACAATCATAGTCTCAATATTAGTGAGAGTCGTAAGAAGAAGAGGAGGATGAGGAGGAGGAGGAGGAGGGGGAGGAGGAATACGAAGAGGAGGAGGAGGAGGGAGAAGAGGACGAGGACGCGGAGAGGAGGAGGAGGAGGAGGAGGAGGAGTATGAGGAGGCCGAGGGGGAGGAGGCGGAAGAGGAGGAAGAGGAGGAAGAGGAGGAAAAGGAGGAGGAGGAGGAAGAGCAATCTTATCAATAAGGGTAGCACGAATAATACCAATAAAATTCATAATAATATGAATACAAAGAAGAATAAGACAAATAATAATACTACGGATACTACTAAGACGGCGAACAAGAAAACAATAGTAGTATGGAGAAGGCGAGTACCGGTAATCACAATATATTAACAAGAGTACGCATAAGCATGCGAATCACAGCACTACTATAATACTTATCAATTTCATATTATTTTTGTGTGGAATTTGTATTATAGAGCTCATATTACTGCGAATGATGTTAAGATCACTAAGAGTCGTATTGTTCTTTCTACTAGTATGATTCATAGTAATATTCGTGAGAATGCGAATTAGGCTACTAGTCGCGCTACTCATGTGAGCACGTATGACAATAGTAACAATGAAAATGCCATTACCAATACAAATAATAGCAGTCATTCTACTATTAAGACTACGAGTGTTAATATTTTCACTACTATTGATAGTGATAATATTTATGATATTTCAAACTGGTAATGCTCACACTAATAATGCAGTAGGAATATCACTGGGGAGACTAAGACTACTCGTGCCATCACGAATAATACTGATATTACGGCCAGTGGTAATCTTACCAACAGTAATACTTCGACCAATACTACCAAACATTTTATTCATAGTAATAATTGCACTACTACTAATAATGGTAATGTCATTAATAGGAATCGTATTAATAACAACAATCGTAGCCGCACTACTACATCTTATTATCACTTCCGTTAATACTCATGCTACTAATACTATTACTAAGAACAACAATATTAATACAATTAATGATGTTACTACCACTACTACTACGACTACTACTACCAATAGCCATACTATTGTTACTGATAGTGACACTACTGATGCCAATAGTACTCAGAACCGTATTAATAATACTACGAATGGTCGTTTTAAAACTCATACTAATACTGGTAGTAAAAGAGAAGAATACTACGACCAACAACTGCAGTACGAGTAATGGATATACGAGTAATCCTACTATTCAGAAGAATAAGGAGACTACTAAGACGACTAGGACGAATAATAATACGGGGGGGGAGGAGGAGGAGGAGGCGGCGGAGGAGGAGAAGGAGGAGGAACAGGAGGAGGATGGACGAGGAAGGGGGAGGAGGAGGAGGAGGAGGAGGGAGGAGGAGGAGGAGAGGAGGAGGAAGGCGGAGGCGGAGGCGGAGCGGAGGCGGAGGCGGAAGCGGAGGCGGAGGCGGAGGCGGAGGGGAGGCGGAGGGGAGGAGGGAGGAGGAGGAGGAGGAGGAGGAGGGAGGAGGAGGAGGAGGAGGAGGGAGGAGGAGGAGGGAGGGAGGGAGGGAGGGAGGGAGGGAGGGAGGGAGGGAAAGGGGGAGGGAGGGAGGGAAGGGGGGGGAGGAGGGAGGAGGAGAGGAGGAGGAGGAGGAGGAGGAGGAGGAGGAGGGCCTTTGATGGTCCACTGGCCACGGCACTGGAAGACAGAGGCAACTCCTGAGCAGCTCCTGACCAGATCGAGCGCTTTGCAAGGGGTGGCCGCCGCCTCCAGCACGGAAGCACAACCAAACAACTGGTTACAGCTCGGGCTTGTCCATTTGTCCGCGCACCTCTGAAGCCTGTGGTGGAACTGCGCGATGGCGCAGCGGAGCTTCGAGGAGGAGGAGGAGGAGGAGGAGGAGGAGGAGGAGGAGGAGGAGGAGGAGGCGGGGGAAGAGAGGGCCGGTGAGACTGGACACCCCGAAGCTCGGCAGCAGGGCCGATGGCCTTGAGAATCGCCCTGCCCCTCTGCCGGACAGGGGCGGCCGCGGCGTCCCAGATGTCAGTGGTTGAGACAGGCTGCACAGCGTCCGGCCTGGGCGTCTGCGATCGCTCTACCTGTGGCCAGGAGGACACCACGGATGCGGTCTTCCTCGTCGTCGTGCTGATGGACGGGCACCCGCGTGACAGCCATGGTGCCCGGGCCCCTGCCCCGACACGCCCGGCGCGCGCGAAGCCAGAGGTGCTCATTGCGGTTCACGCCCCGTCCTCACGAGACGCCCCCGCTCCCACCCGCGTAAGTCAAGGGAGGTAAAGCCACCTGGACCCGACACTTGACGTTTACGAAACAGCCCTGCTCTGGGCGCGTTTACTGGACGACTTCGCGTATGGGAGGGGTTATTATGATGTGTTTTTTTGACTTCTGGTAGATGGTTCTGTGGTCCGTCGCAAACCTCAAATCGCGTGTGGACGTTCTAAGAGCGAGACAAATTGCGAGTCGCTCAGCTCTGGGAACTGCTTGCCTTCCGCCGGGAAGCGGGACGTGGAAGCCTCCGTGGTGCGTCCACCTGGCGAGGGCCGGATCGAGTGCGATCAAAGCGACGGCAACACCTACAGTGCGTCGCCCCGTATCGTCGGACAAAAGTTCTTCCAGACCCATCTCCAAACAGCGTGAGAAGACGGATGTTCGGGTCTCTGGAAGACCCTCCTGCACGCGAGCGTTGCTGATCACCCTCGCGCGCCACTTGCACAAATGCTGCCGGTGGTCGAGCTCCGAGGCACGGTAACCGCTCCCAGACATGTGTATGTAGTTTTTCTTTTGCCGATGCGCCGTCCAGGCGCGGCTCTTGAGTGAGTGAGTGAATGGAGGGCTCCCATACTCTAGGGGCGGATCATGAGACTGGCGGCCAGCAGCGACCCACCCATCCCGCAATTCTGAATGGTCGAGGGTGGGAGAGGTGACGGAGGTGGGAGCGAGACCTCGAAGCCAGAGGCCGGGTCAGGGCGGAGGCCAGCCAGGGCCTGTGGGACGAGGTGTGCGCTGACCTCGAAGGCAGTCCCCTCGTCATCTTCACGCTCTCACATGCGATGGGCGAGGGTCAGGAGGGAAAAAACACACAGAGACAAATCATCGTCGATTCCCAGGAAATTGGATGGGGGAGGCGAACATCAGGAAGTATGATATGTACAGGGAAGCATTGGAGTTGTGTCTACTTACTTGAGTGTCCCTGGGCCCCTTCAGAGGGTCCCAGGAGGCCAGGAGACACATCTATCACGATGTCTGCTGAGCTCAGAACCTACCTCGTGCAGCCTCCCGAGCTGCTACTGGCCTGCACTTACGGTGCAGTTGCCCCATGCCCAAGTACTGAACTGGCCACGGAGAAGACGTCTCTTCTGCTCGATGCGAGTTGTTGCCGAGCCGGCCCCGTGGGCCAACGATTCTCCAGCCTCGTACCTGGCAGCATCTGCCCAGCGACGGCCGTGCAGATCGTCGGCCAAGTCTACCTGGACGGAGACGATATCTGCACTTGACATGTCAGGATCATCCGCGCTGGGGAGGCTCCACTCCTGAACAAATCCATCCTTCTCGCGACGCCAGCAAGCTGCCTGAAGGGCCTGCGACTCTCCCTCGAGGACTGTAGCCATGGTGGCGCCGACCAGCCCCCTCACCTTGGCCCAGATCTGCGGGCTGGCAGGCCAAGAGGGGAGTCTTCGTGCGCGCCCGCAATGCGATCATGAAGACGCGGATGTCATAGCCGACGCCGATGCTGAATCCGAGCGTTGATCAGCTCCACTCTTCGCTTGACGCCTGGGCCGTTGCCGTCGAATGTGATGCCGAGGAGGGTGGTGAGGCAGCGGTCCGCAGCTCGAGGCGGAGGAGGAGGAGGAGAAGGAGGAGGAGGAGGACGAGGACGAGGACGAGGACGAGGAGGAGGAGGACGAGGAGGAGTAGGAGGAGGAGGAGGAGGAGGAGGAGGAGGAGGAGGAGGAGGAGGAGGAGGAGGTGTGGAGGGGGTTGTGGTGGAGGTAGAGGCGGTGGAGGTGGAGGTGGAGGTTCTGGAGGGGGACGAGGGTGGGGAGGACCCCTCGCTGCAGAGACTTTTGGTGCGCGGCTTTCGGGGGGCCCAGGTGGTCCCGAACCCACGCGCGCATACCGCCGCTGTCGCACCATGCAGCGGTCGGCTGTCTGCGCACCAAGGGCCGCTTCTACCTGGCGCCTCTCTTTCGCGCAGCCGAGCCCGTCGCCAGAGGCAAGAGGGGTGGACAGCCCAGGGAAGGGCATTACACGCATTCGCTGGGCAGCCTCGTCGAATACGGGGGCGATCGGAGCCCCTGGGTAGTGCCCTCCCCCCCTGGGCTATCCGGCCTGTTGCAGCCGCCTGTTGCAGCCTGAAGGGGGGAGGTCTTGGGTCGGGACCCCAGCCCACCCGCGTCGTGAACAAAAAGCCACCGCCGGAGGTTTCTTTGACGATCTTCGGCCCCCTGGGGGCCCTCGCAGGGCCCCCGGGGCCCCGTGGCCGTCAAAAAACAACTCATCATTGAAAGCTAGTCCCGAGGAGGGGGGTCGAGATTTGCAGGGGTCCACGTTGGAAAAAAGCAGCCGCGGGTCTGGGGAGGTAGTCGTGTGAGGGAGGGGGGAAGAGCGGGAGGGTATGTGGGCGGGGGAGAGGGTCAGGCGTGGAGGCGAAGGGACGGGGAGGAGGAGGAGGAGGAGGAGGAGGAGGAGGAGGACCAGTTAAAACCCGAGGGTCATCAACGATGTTGGAATAAACCCTCCCTCCAAGCTCCCTCTTCACATGACCCTACAACGGTGGATTTCCCACTGATGGGACTGCCTCGTTGGAAGACAACCGTCTGAAGACCCTGAAGCATGCCAAAACATTGTCCTCGGGATTCCAACGCCACGGATCAACCTGACTGTTGCTTCTTGACGATCCTGAACCATCCCAGAACGCCGTTCCTGGAACTTCAACACCGCGAATCGACGCCTCTGTCGCACCCTCATAATCTTGAATCCTTCCAAAGCGCAATTTCTGGTACGTTGATCACGGGAATCCGTGAAACCCTTGCAACTTCTTGAAGCGAATGTGCGCTGCGCTACGGCGAGCATCACATTTTGAAAAAGAGCCGCCCTCAATACGTGCAACTCTTGCAATATTCAAATAAGCTTCGCGACGTTTAGGCGAGAGCCACATTTTGAAAAGGAACCTCCTTCAAATTACCTAACAGCGTTTGCTGATAGGTTTCTAGTAGGCTCAAAAGAGAGCAGCAGATGACTCCACAGGGGGGTCCGGGCGGCATCCGGGGAGCTGTGTCCGAACTCGTGTCCGAACTCGTTTTTCGCAAACAGTTACACACTTCGTGCTCTTCGACCTCCCAGAACTCCATTCCCGGGCCACATTCTGAATGCCCGGAGCCAACTGTAGGCCACTTCGTGCTCTTCGACTTCCCAGAACTCCATTCCCGGGCCACATTTTGAATGCCCGGAGCCAACTGTAGGCCACTTCGTGCTCTTCGAGTTCCCAGAACTCCATTCCCGGGCCACATTTTGAATGCCCGGAGCCAACTGTAGGCCACTTCGTGCTCTTCGACTTCCCAGAACTCCATTCCCGGGCCACATTTTGAATGCCCGGAGCCAACTGTAGGCCACTTCGTGGTCTTCGAGTTCCCAGAACTCCATTCCATTTTTGAATGCCCGGAGCCAACTGTAGGCCACTTCGTGTTCTTCGAGTTCCCAGAACTCCATTCCCGGGCCACATTTTGAATGCTGAGGCAGGCTGATGCTGAGGCAGGCTGAGGCTGAGGCAGGCTGAGGCTGAGGCCGAGGCTGAAGGCAGACTGAGGCTGAGGCTGAAGCAGGCTGAGGCTGAGGCTGAGGCAGGCTGAGGCTGAGGCTGAGGCAGGCTGATGCTGAGGCAGGCTGAGGCTGAGGCTGAGGCTGATGCAGGCTGAGGCTGAGGCAGGCTGAGGCTGAGGCCGAGGCTGAAGGCAGACTGAGGCTGAGGCTGAGCAGGCTGAGGCTGAGGCTGTGACTGCGACTGCCGTTGCCACTGCGACTGTCATCGCGAATGCGACTACGACTGCGAGAACAGCAGAATTCTACAACTGGATTCTCATCTGAATCTTAAGGGGAATGCTTCCAGATATGCTCCTACACATCGCTGTTAGGTTGCTTTGCCGGGATAATCCGTGAAACTTTTGCATCGTTTTAACACGAATGTGCGCGGTGCTATGGCGAGATCCACATTTTGAAAACCATCCGCATTCAATCCGTGAAACTCTTGCTAACTTTGAAGCTTCAGGGTCATAACTGGTGAGGAAGTCTCAGGCGAAGCGCCATGCCCGCCCTAAAAACTGGCCTCGGGGTGCGACCGGGAGGAGGGTTTTTATATGGAATGGAGGAGGAAGAGGAGGAGGAGGAGGAAGAGGAGGAGGACGAGGAGGAAGAGGAGGAGGAGGAGGAGGAGGAGGAAGAGGAGGAGGAGGAGGACGAGGAGGAGGAGGAGGAGGAGGAAGAGGAGGAGGAGGAGGAGATTAGAGATGGAGCCCCGCTGGCCCGCAGGGGATGCGCTGAGGGCCGTCGCCGCTGGTCGCCTGCCCGCAGGGGACCCTCGGCCGCCGTCTGGCGTGCTCCGAGCTTTTTTGCATACTCTGGCGTGCCGCCGCACGGTGCCGTTGGCGGTGGTGGTGACGATGCCAATTGGCGGCGAGCGATGGGGGGGAACTGAGAAGGAGGGGGCCTTCTCAAAAAGGCGGCGGGGCGTCTTGGAAGCCCTCGAGCCTCCGAGAAGGTTTTTTTGCGCCTTCGGGAAAGGCTCAGGAAACTTCTCAGAAGGCCAGGTGGGGCTTCCCAGCCTTCCTGAGACGGCCCGCCCCTTTTCACTTTCCCCCCCCAGGCGCGCCGCCGAGATTACACCTTAGGCGATGCTTAAGAAAACTTAAGTTTTCGGCCAGAGTCTCGATTATTCTTAACGTTTCAATGTAAATCCTAAGATTTCAACAGAAATTTAGTTTTTTTATTCAAGTTCTGAGACTATGAATTTCTTAACCCATGATTTCTCAAGCATTTCGCAAGGTGTAGGGTGACTCGATGGAGAAAAACTGCATGAACGTAAACTCTGGACGCTCCGCGCGGACATCTTGGATCTGCGCTGCGGCCAGGCCAAAGAGTGAGCGTATGTCTGTGCAGCTTGTGGTTCTTCTACAGTCAGGTGCTTCGTGTGCTGGTGAGAATTTTTTTGTCGAGGCGTGTCCGTCTTAGGACTGTCATTCGTTCAGGCCGTGATGGGGGCGTGACTCGCTCTGGCTGCCCACTCATGCGACAGACGTTAAATCCGCTCGACCGACCGACCGACCGGCCGAGCGAACTACCGAACGACTGGACAACGACCGACGGCGACGACCGACGAATGGTAACGACGGTGATGATGACCGACCGACCGAACGAATGACCGAGTGACCCAGCGGACGAGCGACCGAGCGACCGACGACGACCGACCGACCGACCGACCGAGCGATCGACGACGACGACGACCGACCGACCGACCGAGTGATCGGCGACGACGACCACGACGACGTCGACCGACGGCGACGACCGACAGACAACGACGACGGCAACGACCACCGACCGACCGAGCGACCGCCCGACCGACCAACGACGACCGAAGGACGAGGACTGCGACCAACGGCGACGACCGACGGACGAGGACGACAGACCGACCGACCAACAGCGACGAACGACGACGACGACGAGACGGACGCCGTTGCAAAACTCTAGCAGGCCAAATGTAGAAGGCCGACCGCGACTGGCCGAGGCCACATTCTAGAACGCGCGGGCCGGGTAAAATTCTAGAAGGGAGCGCTTCGAGGACGCGCCCCCCCCCTTCCCCTCGCCCACTCCCCGGAGACGGGGTTCTGCTTTTAGTAATACATATATAAGACTATATATATGTAAATAAGGGAGGGGCGTTTGCAGGCGACTGTGCCACCTCGGGCTCCGAATCCTGTAACAGCTGTTTATTTTGAGACCACCCGCCGGGGCCGAATGAACTCGAATGATCACGAGTGAACTGCGAATGAACCCCCGAATGTACCAGAATGCACCCCCGACTGAACCCTCCCCAGCGCCCCAGACGGACTCCGACTCAACCCCCCAGACGTCGTCGTCGTCGTCGTCGTCGTCGTCGTCGTCGTCGTCGTCGTCGTCGTCGTTGTTAGTCGGCCGTCGCCGTGGTTCGTCGTTGTCGCGAATCGTCGTTTCTCGGTCGTCGTCCTGAGTCGGTCCGACGGTCGTCTTGTCGTCGTCGTCGTTGTCGTTGTCGTCCGTCGTTTTCGGTCGCTTTGGATGCGGATGTAATCAGGTTGGGAACATGACACGGACCCAAAATCTGATCGACATGGTATGCTCATTACAATTTCACTCCAACACTAGTCACCTGACTGTAGCGACGTTGATTGAGGTGTTGACGATTTCGGCGACAGTGGTGATGATTGGTGACGATGACCTATGTCGATGCCACTTTCGGCGATGACGAGCACTGTATCGGTGAGGCGCCGGAGAGCATGACGAGTGATGCTAGTGATGGCTCTGGAGTATGATCGGGGCTTATTATTTAGATGCTGACAGATCATTCTCCCCATGGGGTACCTTGATGCTTCTATTGTACGCGCTCGTCACAATCATCTCTCCATGTTCGACCTCGCCTGTGTGATCATTGTGGTAGCAGAAGCCAGAAGCTGCACCGCTATTTTCCTGCTCAACGGTGGCTAGTGCGTTGTCATCGTGGCTCTCTTCAAACAGAGCCTAAATTGGCAAGAATCACGCATACCTACCTACCCGTTCGATGATGGCAAAAGTCTGTACTTTGGATTCCTCTGAGTCTAGTTGATGTACGCGTCGCACTGGGGTTGAGTCCTGCGCAAGGAAATCGGTCAATGAGTTCTCCAGCAAGTTGGTTGTCCAGTTAGCCAGGTGCTCAGTCTTTTGTTTGCTAGCGGGGGCCCCAAGCAGTGAGTTCTTACACTCTTGTGATGATCATGTTCGTTCAACCTCGCACGATCAGTCGTTTCCGAAACGTCCGATCGTTCGACGTCGACCGATTCTGGGTCGCCGGATGCGCTCAACCTTGAGTGTTGGCGGCGAGGTCTCTGCTGGTCGGCACGACGCGAACCTACCGTATGTGGCGCAAGATATGTGGCGCCCACTGGGCGAGTAGGATGGGGAGGAGGAGGAGGAGGAGGAAGAGGAGGAAGAGGACCAGTGTACGCCCAAGACGCAGAAACCATGTTGCAATACACCCTCCCTCTAAGTTCCCTCTTCATGGGTCCCTAGAGAAATTGATTGTCATTGCGGGAAGTGGCACATTGGAGGACAAGCGTCTGAGAATCCTCAATTGTGCTAAAAGGCCCGTCCTGGGACTTCAGCGCCGCGGATCACGTGACTGTTGCGACTTGACACTCCGAAATCGCACCAGAACGCCGTTCTCGGGACTACAACACCACGAATCAACGTGGTTGGTGGCTCTTGATAAATCGAGATCGTACCAGAACATTATTTCTGTGACTTCGACCGTGCGAATCCTTGAAACCGTTGCTAACTTTAAGACGATTGTGCGCTGCGCGAAGGCGAGAGCTACAGTTTGAAGAGGAACCGCCGTTCATCCTTGAATTTCTCACGCATTTGTAAGACGAATGTGCGTGGCGCCAAGGCGAGAGCTACTTTTGTTTAAGGAGCCGCCTTCCATCCTTGAACCTGCCGCGAACTTGCAAGACTGCGCGGCGTTCAGGCGAGAGCCACATATTGAGAACGACTCGCCTTCCATCCGCGAAACTACTGCGAGCTTTTAAGACCATTGTTCGCGGCTCTAAGGCGAGAGGCGCATTTTGAAGACGGCCCGCACTCCATCCGTGAAGCTGTCGCAAATTTCAAGCTTTACGTCGCACGTCCTAGCGACGTGCGGCTGCACGGGAAGAGCCGCGGCAAAGCGCAAGCACAGCAGAGGGAAGGCGAAGTGGGACGACAGGAGAAAGGCGACGACGACGAGTAGAGGAGGTATCGAATCGAATCGAGCTCTGGGGCAATGAGTCAGATCGTCCACTCGTGAGAAGCCTTGGCCACTCGTGGTATCGTCCCACCAATTTGCAACAGCATGTCTCTTACGACGCCCTGGCAACCCGCCAGGGAACTTTGCACTTGGAGGAAGTAATCTTGAGGTCCGACGGCGCGAAACAATCCAGACACCGTGAACAGAATCACGGCTGGAGCCTTGGGCCCCATCTTTTTTCCCTACCTAGGCTCTGCCTAGAAGGGTTCTTATTCGGTATGCTTGAGGGGCCGGGCAGTGCAACTCGCCCCGGGCGGTTCCCCCAATATCCGCTCCGCGGTTCCCCCAGTGACGTTCCCTTAGCTTAGCGTTGCTTATCTCACCTTAGCTCAGCTTATTTCATCTTAGCTTAGCTTCACCTTAGCTTAACTGATCGTCATATAGATGTTGCTTTCCTAGATCCTCCAACTCCTAGGTATGGTCGCACTGGGATAATTTGCTCGGCTCTTCGAGCCGGATCGGCTTGCCAGGGCCCCAGGGCCCGAGACCCGGCGAGGACACGCCGGCGTCGGACACAAGTCGGGACGCCAGGCTGTCGGGGCCGACGAGGGGCGACCCGTGCGCGCACCGGCCGCCCGGCCGGCCAGGACCCCCCGCACGGCGAGGAGCTCCCGCGCGGCGTGCCGGCGTGGCGTCGGCGCCATGCGCGCCAGCTTCCCGGCCCGCACGGGCGCACCGCCGCCCGGGGGGGAGGGGCCGCCTCGGCCGCGCGCAGAAGGGTGCAGGGGCAGGGGGGAAGGCTGTTTAGAGGCAGCCCTGCTTCTCAGAAGGCGCGGGACTTCTCTCTGTAGACGGAAGGCCCGCGCCTTCTCAGAAGCAGCCTCCTTCTGAGAAGCCTTCCCCCTCCCCCTCCCCCCTTGTGCGCGCCGCCAGCCGCCCTGTGGTGTTCTCCGCCTCCGCCTCCGCCTCCGTCTCGTTCTCTCTCTCGTCGGCGCGTCCAGCTGCTCCTGCCCGCCCCCCCGAGGGCGGGGCCGCCCCCTGTGGTTCGGGGACGGCAGAGAGGGAGGTGAGGAGTAGGGGGGGGGGATATCTCGTGGCGGGGGCCATGATAGTTCCCCAGACTACATGGAGTTCCTTTTTATTTTTCACTACGTTCCTGGCCCCCCCCCCTGGGCCGCGCGCATGCCGCCGGCCCTGATCTGCACCCCCCCCCTTGGACACCCCCCCTGGCCGCTCCCGACACTGGTGTTCTCCGTCTCCGCCTCCACCTCCGTCTCGTTCTCTCTCGTCGGCGGGTCCAGCCGCTCCGGCCTGCCCCGCGAGGGCGGGGAGGCATCCGTGGCCACCGCGCGGCGGCGAGCATTCCATGTTTTAGGTCGTTCTCGTCGGTCCTCGGCAGCTTTCCAGCCTCGGGGTGCGTTCCAGCAGCTGCGCCTCGCCGAGGGCGTTCTGGGGGTTCTTGCGCCGCCATTGGGAGGAGGAGGAGGAGGAAAAGGAGGAGGAGGAGGAGGAGGAGGAGGAGGTAGGAGGAGGAGGAAGGAGGAGGAGGAGTAGGAGGAGGAGGAGGAGGAGGAGGAGGAGGAGGAGGAGGAGGAGGAGGGGAGGAGGGGAGGGGAGGAGGAGAGACGGAGGAGGAGGGAGGAGGAGGAGAGGAGGAGGAGAGGAGGAGAGGAGGAGGAGGAGGAGGAGGAGGGGAAGGAGGAGGAGGAGGAGGAGGAGGAGGAGGAGGAGGAGCGTGCTCCGCTCGGTGAGGACGGGGCGCCAAGCGTGGTCGCAAGAAAAACCCAGGCGGGCCTGTGCACCTTTCGCTCTGCAGTTCGTTCCCCCGTTCCCCCCCTTCTCTCTAGCCCCCCTGCTCCTCTGGCTGGCTCCTCCGGCGCCTGCGTCCGCTTCTCTTCCGCCTCTTCTCTTTCTTCCACCCTTCCCGGGGTCCGCTTTGCTCCGATCAGTCCGATACGATCTTGATCCTGGTCAGCCCGACCCGCTTCGATCTCGACATCCCAGCGACCCGACCCGGCCCGAGCTCGACGCTTACGTGGCGGTGCTGTGCAACCTGGCGCAGCCTACCCGATTCGATCTCGACCCCGCGCCGATGCGGCCCAGTCCCGCGCACGTCCCGATCCGATCCGATCCAGCTTCCTGAGCTTGCGCTGACTGATCTGCCCCCCCCCCCCTCGCAGCTGGAGGCTCCCTGACGCCTGCGCGCCCCGGCACGGCCACGCCGATGCTGCCGGGAGGCGGGCGCCTCTGCGGATGCCTTTTCGCGGCCGCCCCCTTTCGCCGCCACGACCGCTCCTCTCCCCTCCCCAGCCTCCTCCTCCTCCTCTTCTTCCTCGTCCTCCTTCTCTTCTTCCTCCTCCTCCTCTTCCTCCTCCTCCACCTCCTCCTCCTCCTCCTCTTCCTCCTCCTCCTCCTCTTCCTCTTCTTCCTCCTCCTCCTCTTCCTCGTCGTCGTCCTTCTCCTCCTCTTCCTCCTCCTCCTCCTCCTCCCTCTCCTCCTCCTCCTCCTCCTCCTCCTCCTCCTCCTTCCCTCCTCCTCCTCCTCCTCCTCTCTCCTCCTCCTCCTCTTCCTCCTCTCCCTCCTCCTCCTCCTCCTCCTCCCCTCCTCCCTCTCCTCTTTCCTCCCCTCCTGTCCTCCTCCTCCTCCACCTCTTCCTCCTCCTCCTCCTCTCCTCCTCCTCTCTCCTCTCCTCTTCCTCTCCTCCTCCTCTTCCTTCTCCTCCTCCTTCCTCTTCTCTCTCCTCCCCTCCTCCTCTCCTCTCCTCCTCCTCTTCCTCCTCCACCTCCTCCGCCTCCTCCTCCTCCTCCTCATCCTATCCCTTAATGTCCTCCTCCTCCTCCTGCCTTTCCTCTCCTTCCCTTCTCCTTCTCCTGTTCCCTCCCTCCTCTCCTCCTCCTCCTCCTCCTCCTCCTCCTCCTCCTTTCCTTCCCTCCTCCCAAGACCGCCTCGCGTCGCCGAAAATACATGTCGGGCGGTGCCTGGCAATTTTCGGCCCCATCGGGCCCCCAGGACCCTCAGAGAACGATTCGGCATGAAAAACCAGCCTGGGGAACGCGACCTCCACTTGTCCCCACCCCAATCGAGCTGCGAAGACATCGCGGCGGAAGGCTTTTGGCTGTCTTCGGCTTTCGGGGGCCCATGCCGGGCCTGGGGACCGTCAAGCAGCGCCCGGGACGGGAGACCGGCGAGCACCGTGGGGGTCGGGAGAGGGGCTCCAGGGGCCCGCGCGCGCGACCCGACCGCCTCGCGTCGCCGAAAATACATGTCGGGCGGTGCCTGGCAATTTTCGGCCCCATCGGGCCCCCAGGACCCTCAGAGAACGATTCGGCATGAAAAACCAGCCTGGGGAACGCGACCTCCACTTGTCCCCACCCCAATCGAGCTGCGAAGACATCGCGGCGGAAGGCTTTTGGCTGTCTTCGGCTTTCGGGGGCCCATGCCGGGCCTGGGGACCGTCAAGCAGCGCCCGGGACGGGAGACCGGCGAGCACCGTGGGGGTCGGGAGAGGGGCTCCAGGGGCCCGCGCGCGCGACCCGAGCGCGGCGTCGGAGGGCCCGGCACCTCCTCGCTCGCCACGCCTCGCCCCCTCCCTCCTCCCTCTCCTGCCTCCTCTCCCCTCCCTTGCCTCCTCCCTCCTTCGGGGCTCCACCAGCGAGTCGCGCCCGCGCTGGGCCCCCCCTCGGCTGCGCACCTCGGGCGGCGGCCGTCCGTGTGCGCCGCGCGCGAATGGCGGGCCCAGCGCGGGCCCGGCAGCGCCTTCGCTGTGCTTCTCCGCCCCGTGCAGGCGCAACAGTTCAGCCACGCGCAGAGGGGGGTGGGGGGAGGGGGGAGGACTTCTTAGAAGCACCCCTGCTTCGTAGAAGGCGCGGGCCTTATCTATAGATGTAAGGCCAGCGCCTTCTAAGAAGCAGCTTGCTTCTAAGAAGCCCTCCCCCTCCCCCCACCCCCTTGTGCGCGCCGCCAAACAGTGTCGGTCTCCTCTGGAGAACAGGGGAGCATCTGGGAAGTGTCGGGGAAACGTATAAGACTCGAGTACGCCGGCACTCGGGTCTGCCGACGCTTTTTTTGACGGGCGCGTCCTGGATTCTGGCGGTCCGGTTTTCGTGGGATGTTTGCAGCGGGAGCTCGCGTCAAACTTCAGATTGGGTCTCGTCATTTTCATGATGGCCCCGTCAGGCCAACTCGAGTCCCCCGTACCCAAGTCTTACGTCTCCCCGAAAGTGGGGGGGGACCGCCGGAAAGTATGGGGAATCCTGCGAGGTGTGTCTATCTTTTTGTGTGACCTTGGACCCCTTGATCTCTTCTCCCTGCTCCCGCCTCCCTGCTCCCTACCTCGGGGGCGGAAAAGAGGGGGGTGATGACTAGGGGGGGGTGGATATCATGGCTCATGGCGTGGGCCATGACATCTCCCCAGATTTCATGGTGCCTCTTCTTATTTCGTTACGCCCCTGGCCCCCCGCTGGGCCGCGCACATGCCGCCGGTCATGATTTGCACCTCCCCCTCTTGGACCCCCCCCTCTTGGCCGCTCCCGACTACCTCCTGCCTCCCCTCTCTCCTCTCCTCGTCCAGCTGCCCAGCCATACCCAGGAAGGGGAGAGGGAGGGAGGGGGGTCAGACGAGGAGGTAGGACGAGGAGGAGATGGGAGAATAGGAGGAGAGAGGATGGGGGAGGAAAGCAGGGCCCCTCCCCGTTCAACTGCCCAGCCACACCCAGAAGGCGGAGGGAGGGAGGGAGGGGGGTCAGACGAGGAGGTAGGACGAGGAAGAGAGGGGAGAGTAGGAGGAGGGAGGATGGGAGAGGAAAGGGATGTATGCAATGGGGAGTGATGGGGAGGTAGGAGTTGTTAGGAAGAGGGGGTACACATGATGTTAGAACAGTCAAGGATGGTACTTTGTGAAGCAGCAGTGGCATCGACCTCACTTTCCTGCCCCGCTTCATGGCAGCGGCTTCAAAATCGGCGAGGGTGCTTGTCGGCCGGTGGTGAGGCCATTCTAGTTGCGCCCGTGGGGCGAGTTGCTCCAGAGCCCGCAGTGCCGCAGTTCTCTCTCCCAACCGAGCGATTACCGCCGCCCCCTCAGCCCCACCCTGCCGCTTCTGGGAGGGAGGGAGGGAGGGAGGAGGAGGAGGAGGAGGAGGAGCAGGAGGGAGGGAGGGAGGGAGGCAGGGGAGGGGAGGGAGGGAGGGAGGGAGGGAGGGAGGAAGGAAGGGAGGGAGGGAGGGAGAGGGTGCCCACTCCTTCTATCCTCGGCGGCCCGCGCGCCACATGGAGGCCCGCCGCTGCGCATGGCACCCGCGGTGCAGGCGAGCGCGGCCCTGACCGACCCAGGGGCTGGGAGGGGTCAGAGGGCGGTCCTGTTCTCAAGTCGGGCCTGTCCCTCTGCAGGGGGAATATTCAATTAGCCTGGCGAAGGACCCAACCATGTGCAGTTGTGAGTACCGCAATTGCGAACATCTTCTTCGGTAAGGGCCGTGTTGGGTGGTGGCGGACGCATGCGGACGCATGCGGGCGGTGCCACTGGGACCTTCCGTGGAACTCCCTATGGGGCCACGAAGCGCTGTACTGGGTGGGTGAAACGCAGGGAGCAAGGGCTGTGCTGGGTGGTGGCGGACGCATGCGGGCGGTGCCACTGGGACTTTCGGTGCCGCTCCGTATGGGGCCACGAAGCGCTGCACTGAGTTGGTGAAACGCAAGGAGCAAGGGCCGTGTTGGGTGGTGGCGGACGCATGCGGGCGGTGCCACTGGGACCTTCGGTGGAGCTCCCTATGGGGCCACGAAGCGCTGCACTGAGTTGGTGAAACGCAAGGAGCAAGGGCCGTGTTGGGTGGTGGCGGACGCATGCGGGCGGTGCCACTGGGACCTTCGGTGGAGCTCCCTATGGGGCCACGAAGCGCTGTATTGGGTGGGTGAAACGCAGGGAGCAAGGGCTGTGCTGGGTGGTGGCGGACGCATGCGGGCGGTGCCACTGGGACCTTCGGTGGAGGCCCCTATGGGGCCACGGAACGTTGTACTGGGTGGGTGACACGCAGGGAGCAAGGGTTGTGCTGGGTGGTGGCGGACGCATGCGGGCGGTGCCAGTGGGACCTTCGGTGGAGCCCCTTATGGAGCCACGCAGCGCTGTACTGGGTGGGTGAAACGTGGGGAGCAAAGGCTGTGCTGGGTGGTGGCGGACGCATGCGGGCGGTGCCAGTGGACCTTTGGTGGAGCCCCCTATGGGGCCACGAAACGCTGTACTGGGTCGGAGGGAGGAGGGAGGAGGGAGGAGGAGGGGGAAGGAGGAGGGAGGAGGGAGGAGGGAAGGAGGAGGGGGAAGGAGGAGGGAGAACGAACGCAGGGAGGAGGGAGGAGGGAGGAGGAGGGGGAAGAGGAGAAGAACAGGAGAAGAACGCGGGGACCGTCTGTTCAAAACGAGGACCCAACACCACAGGATGGTTGGGAACAATAGTTTAAACATTAGTTAACAAATAGTCGGGGGCGATTTTTTTGACTAGTTCGGGTTATTTGTCTTTGCAGTTGATTTGTTTCACTATTTTTTGCTTTTCGCCCAGAATTCGCCTGTAGGGGGACATGCCCGACCTGATCCTATTCTGTTCCAGCCATGTGCGTGAGGTCCAGCTGCAAGGTTGTGCGCGCGAGATCCCTGAATGCATGGAGGCCCATGGGAAACGACTGGATGGACAGATACGGGGGACGAGGGGGGGGGCTGGGCACGCGTTGCCGGGCGGCCGACGGGGCAGACGCGGGCGCGGGGTGGCTGGGGGGCTCGCGGCAGCGGAGGGAGTGGAGGGGAGGGGGCGACGAGGGAGTGGTCGGGAGGGAGGGCATCGTGGGGAGGGAGGGGGGGAAGGGGTGAGGGAGGGAGGGAGGGGGCAGAGGAAGTTGCGGGGAGGCAAGGGGGGGAGGAGGGGGGGCGAGGGAGCGGTCGGGGGAGAGCAGAGGGCGTCGTGGGGAGGCAGGGGGGTGAATCGTGTGGCTGGTGAGGTTTTGGAGGCGGCGCCACCCTGGTGGCACGCCGGCGCCCTGGGCCCCAAGAAGGCACGCGCGCCCCCGTGCGTGTTGCTAGATGCGCGCGGCAAGCATGCGCCGATGCTGGTTTCGGCGGCAGAGGTGGCACATGTGGAGCCCGGCTGCTGGCCTGGAGCGACTCGGGACAGAGAACTTACGTTTGCAGGGCGACAGATTCGCTTCTTGAGGCGCCAGCGGTGACAAGCGGTTGGCGATAGAGCATGGGCGCCGCCAGATGCACAGCGTCGAGGCAAGGTGCTTGCAGCATCCATGGGTGAGGAGAGATGTATTCATGTTGGGTGCGAGCCGCATGCGGGGAGCGTGGGTGGTGTCCGTGAACCAACGCGCGACATGCCTGTGACAGTTCGTCCTGGGGATGTAGATACTGTTCGTCTGGGCATACAATGTATGCCCAGATCTCTCTCAACTTCAGGCGCCTTCCTATTTCAAGCCTCGGGTGGTCTTTCCTCTTCCTCTGTCTGCAGATGTCTGCAGGGAGCGGGCAGACATCTCGTCCACCTTCAACACCGTCCTGCTTCGTGTTTCTGCCCACTTCCCTCTCTGGAGCGATTGTCAATCCATAGGCGTACTTCTGGCTACCCGTGCCAGTACTCCAACGACGTGCAGGTCAGCGACTGCAGCACCAGACGACTGGCGGTCGCACTGCACAGGGTGTTCCGCCCTGATGGGCGGAACCTTTTGTGAGAAGGGGAGGGCAGGACATGGATTGGGGCAGGATGGGTCCTCCTCCGCCTGCTCCTGCTCTTGCTCCTGCTCCTGCTCCTCCTCCTCCTCTTCTTCCTGACCCTCCTCCTCCTCCTCCTCCTCCGCCTCCGTTCTGGCAGCGTGCTGGCAGCATGGCGCCGATCGGTTCACGTGAGCATGCAGCAGTTGTGGCTGTGAGTAGAACCCGTGTAATACCTCATATAATACTACTTATCCTCACCTCTCCTGCGCCTGGCCGTTTGGGCTCAGGTATTGGGACTTCCCAAGTACGCTTGGGACTGATCGATCATACCTTTGATCGTGCAGGAGGGAAAAACATCCATCTATCCCTCCTTCCCTCTACCAACGGATCAGGGGTTCTGTACCCTTGTACTTCAACCCCATTCACAGGTTATCAGCCCTTTAAAGCTCGCCGTTCATCGAACCCCGCGTCGCGACCTCGCACGCGGCCTCGATGGAACCCAAGCGGCGCATGCGCCGTAAGGGGTCCATCGGGGCCTCGCGTCCGAGCTCTCCGACGGCGCGACGGCTCGGTGATGAGTTGGAGAGCCTTAGTGCGGACTGTGTTGGTGCCCCAGGTACCCCCCCAGCTCCGACGGGCCCGAGGCGCGGCTAGCTGCTGAACTTCACCGCAGCGCCGCCCGCGGGGGGACAGGAGAAGGAGCAGGAACAGGTAGGAAGGAGTTTCACACGCCTACCTTCGATCCTCCATCTCCTCCTCAGTCGGGAGCAATCCCAACTGCGTCAGGCGAAAGCCTCACTGGTCCTGATACCCCAGGGCGCTTTCGCGCTAACCGCCGATGGACCTCAGGTGCTGGTACCCCCAGCCCTGCGACCGTTCCTGTTGCGGAGCACGTAGCCACCTTCGAGGAACTCAGTAGACCAGTGGCGGCACAGCCGCAGACGCAGTATCCCAAGGTATCATCGGATGAGACACCGCACACACACGGTCCTAGCCGCAGCTCGTCCGCGCGCAATCGTCGTGGGGCCCCAGGCCCATGCGGCGAGAGTAGGTCGAGCCCGCGTACAGCCTCTCAGAGGCCAAGCACTCCTCGCGAGAGGGGGCAGAGGGAAGCCTATGCTCCCCACCTCTCCATCTCAGACGACCAGCTGGCGGAAACGTCCGCCGCAGGTGAAATAGCTGAGCCCAGAGACCAGGTTGAAACCTTCGTGTCCAGGCAATACTCTGGACTACTGCAGAGCGTTCAGACGAACGCTGCCAATACTGCAGCCATACGCCAAGATCTTGACGGCGCCTTAGGGATCATCGATTCCAGGATCGCCGAAGATCGACGCATCATAGGTGAACTGCAGTACCAGGTTGATCGTGAGGTGTCACACTCAGGTGAACGAACGGCAATGGTCGAAAACCTGCGCAACTACCTTGCGCAGATGGAGCAACAGCTTGTGCTCGTACGCGACACAGGCGTTTCAGCATTCAGGATCTTGCACGATGAGATCCACGACCAGCTCCGCAACCGACCAACACCAGCCGAGGCCATCGACCTTGGCGGCGTTCAGTCTCAGATCAATGATCTTCGATCCTACATATACCACACTACGGCGACGCTTCGCAACGAAGCGCACGCCAACTCGTCGAACCTGATAGACATGTTGCAGCGTACTGAGAGAGTCATCATTCAAAAGCTTGATGCGACCAACGCTGTCGCGCAGCCACTCGCTAACCGGATCTCTGAAATCGAGCAGCGTCTTCCTGGTGTACAGGACGCCCTGGCTGAGTTGCGTGCCGGACGAGCCCAGACTGGCCAGCTGGATTCTCCTCCCACGGTTTACGATTTCGCCCGCCTCACTGACAGGTTGCAGGTTGAGAAGGCGGTGGACCACGCGCAGTCGGAGCTCTCCCAGGTTATTCGTGAGAGAGATACTGAGAGGGTACGTGTTGAGGAGCACCTCGCACGTCTGGAAAGCGAGCTGGAGGCGCAATGCGCCCGTCTCCGAGCCTACGAGCAACGACTTGATCGGTACTCACAACGTTCTCGGGATACTGATGAGTACACACGCCAAAAGGTGGCCCAAATACACGAAGACATGACGAGCTGGACGAATCAGCTGATCGACCACACCAACGACACCAGTCTCCACCTTCGACCTGCAACCGACCTGCACAGGCCGACGGCAGCGTCCGCCGAAGCACCACAAGCTTCTGCAGGACAACAACGACGTACGTCACCAGGAGCAGCCTCCGCGGCAGCTTCTGCACAGACACGCCATGTGTCTTCTGTGCGCACAGAACCGACTACTGACGGTATACCGATACCCTCACAACCACTGTCTGCGGTTTCGGTCCATACTACAACTCCTATCAAGGAGTCAGACACCGTCCGAGTCCCTGTCTTGCCTAAGATCACGCAGCTGCTCGAGTGGCAGCAAAAGGTACGGAAGAACTTTGGGGCCGCCTCGGGGCGACCATCCAAAGCATATGCCTTCCGATGCGTGGCCGAACAGACCGAGTGTACCTTCGAGGACTTACAAGACAGTGGAGACTTTGAGAGCATCGATTGCAAACTCGCTACCGCTCTGAGCGACATCTTATCCTCAGACTTGCGCTACC